GAAATATTGACACCAAGTATTCCAATACCGGCTGAGGCAGTTAGGGGGGTGCTTTGAAACTGAGGAGAGACGACCAACGGCAGTTTCTTAGCGGTAAACACGCAGACTTGTGTCTTAGTGGGGTTAAATTGGACCAAATTAAGTCCACCCCAATCAGAGATTCTCCCTAAAGAGGTCTCGATTTCAGACACGAGTCTGTTTCGGCTCTCTATGACGTTTTCCCGAGAAATGTTAGCGCGGCCGGTGTAGTAGGCATCGCCTGTGCTGTCATCCGCATAACAATGAATGCCGCTGATTTGCAGCATGTCATTGATATGGAGGAGGAACAATGTAGGCGATAGCACGCAGCCTTGAGGGACGCCTGCATTTACAGACATCAAGTCAGAGCATTCACCGTCGACGACGACTTTAATGCTTCTGTCTGCAAGGAAGTAGGAGACCCATTTGCATAATTTCTCGGGAAGTCCGTAGGAAGGAAGCTTCGAAAGAAGCGCTCTATGCCAAACCCGATCGAAGGCCTTCGCCACGTCTAAACTTACTGCCAACGCTTCCCCCTTAGACTCGATCGCCTGTGCCCACCGATGCGTTAGGTAAACAAGGAGATCACCAGCAGACCGACCTTTACGAAAACCGTATTGCTGGTCACTGAGCAGCTGATGATCCTCTAAGTAACGCAGGAGCTGGCAGTTAATAATGGACTCCATTATTTTCGAGAAGAGGGAAGTTATGGCTATCGGTCTGTAGTTAGACGGGTTAGATCGATCACCTTTTTTAGGGATTGGGTGGACTAAAGCTGTCTTCCAGGACGTCGGAACTACGCCTGAGGAATAAGAGAGCCGAAAAAGACGTGTTAGAACTGGGGCCAACTCGGGGGCGCACATTTTCAAAACAATGGGTGGGATCCCATCAGGCCCGCTCGACTTATGGACGTCAAGGGATAAAAGCGCCAAACGTACCGTGCGCTGGTGGAACCGCACATCCGGCATATACCTTCCGCACCAAGGCACAACAGGAGGCTCGCGCCCACCGTCATCCAGTGTCGAGTTGGATGCAAAGATTTTTGCCAAAAGTTGAGCCTTATCCCTTGCGTTATGAGCCAACGAATCCTCACCCATGTGCAGAGGTGGAAATGACGGCCTGCAGAAATTGCCCTCGATAGCTTTGGCGAGCGACCAGAATGAACGAGTTCCTGAAGGAAGGCGCTCCAGCCTCTCACCAATTCTACCGATGTGCTGCGACTTGGCACCCGCAATAGCTCTTTTGAAGGACTTGGAGGCAAAGTTATACTCCTTTTTTAGTGCACTGGTATTTACATCCCGTGCCACCGCCGCATCGACCCAGGCTTGGTAGGCCTCCTGCTTTCTGCGTGAGGCCTTTCTGGTAGAAGCATCAAACCAGGGCCGATATCTGCCACCGACGGGGACCAGAGAAGATGGGACGAAAAGCTCCATCCCCTGCAGCACCACATCAGCAACAGAATTGGCAGCGGCGTTGGGATCATCCTGCAAGAAGCAAGCCCGCCTCCAAGGGTAGGATGCAAAAAAGGACCGCATCCCATCCCAATCTGCCGACCTATAGTGCCATACACGGCGACCGCGTACCTCTTGTAGTCGCGGTGTGCACGTCCAAGATACAGAGCTCCGGACAAGGCAATGATCCGATGAGCCAAGAGGGGCTTCGACGGATACGCTGTAGCCGTCCGGGTGAGAGGTCAGCAGAAGGTCCAACAGTGAAGACCTCTGGCCTTCCACATCCGGGATTCGCGTGGGCACGGTCACCAGTTGTGTTAGGCCAGAAGCAAGAGCCAAGTCGTGGACAGATCTCCCCGCGTGGTCAGTCTTACTGGAGCAGAGCCAGTCGGCGTGATGGGCGTTGAAGTCGCCAAGCAAGACCACTTCCGCTGAGGATATCTGCCCCTGCACAAGATCTACAGCCGTCTGGATGTGGTCCATGAGTCGGTCAGTCTCGCTATCACCGCTATGGGACCTATATAGGCACGCGTAGACACGGGGGTGGTCGTCGTTATCTACACGCAGCCATAAGGTGGACAGGTCCCTACCTTCAAGATTACTGAGGCGACGTGAGCTGATATCGTCCCTGATGTACACGCACACCCCGGCCCTAGGCAGGAAGGAATGTTCCAGTCCATACCCAGGGTAGGTGAGGTAGGATGTGTCCAACGGAGACGATATCTGCGTCTCAGTCAAAAAGAGCAAGGCCGGCTTTGCTGTCTCTAGGTGGTGATGGACAGCATTGAGGTTGGTGTGTAATCCCCTTATGTTGCAGAAGTCCACATTCAGCGTGGCAAGGGGTGCCATGGTTATTCTGCTCTTGCCTCCAGCTTTATGATGCGCAGTTTTGCCCCCCCCAGAGTACGATGTGGGGCGGCCTGGACGTCCACGCTCAGGGTAGTTGAGTTCTGAAAATGGACGTCCAGAGAGGGATTCTCCAACGCAGTTGGTACCCTCCTGGGGTAGAAACTCTTGAATCAACTGCGACATTATGAGGGGGGGGGGGTTGGGCCTCCGGTACCCTCACTCACTCGGTGAAACACAGCGCAAGCGCGGTTTCACACCGGTTTTCTGTGAGGCCGTGGTATTACTCCGGTCGAGCCGGCCCATTCGTGCCGAAGCATGGCTCTCCCACGGGGAAAAATTGTTGCTATTATAACAGCCTAAGGTGACACATTGCAACAATGATATCATCAGTCATTGATCTTTTTATTAAAGTTTTTTTTTTATTTGGGAAAGGCCCAATTTATTTGGTAATTTACGTTAAGTATTCGTTATTTTTTCGATATTTAATTTCACTAAACTACATCGTCTAAATATATTAGTGATTTTTATTAACAGTTAAGGATTTCTTCCTCATGAGTGAGCTGCGCGACGTCGCCGCGACCGCGCACGCTGCTCATGAGGAAGAACCCCTCTGTGGTTCGAAAGTTCGAAACTAGTAGAGCTTTTCTCAGTATATTCACGTGACTAATCCGCGTTTTTACTTAATTTAGTATGTCCCACGATAGTTATTATAAAAACACAGTTAAGGATTTTATCGTTTAAGCCTTTAACTCCCGACAAAAAACAGTTAAAAGACTAATCCTCCTAGCGTCGGTCATCATTGTTCGTCACGGCATCCAATGTGTTAAAATTGGCACCCTACCTACGTTTACGTAGCCATTTCTAGTAATTTAAACAATATATAAATCTATTAATAAGTTACGCGATCATTAAACCATCGATAAATTAAACGTGTTCGGCATAATTAGCGTACATCACTAGTCACAATAAAGTATGGAGCAATTCTTTTTTCAAATGAATCTGTCAATTAATTGGAAACTTTATGAGCGTGCAAATGATAAATAAAATGGCCTTCGCATACGATACGGTGCCTATTAAAAAATAATAATTGTAGTGTGGGACTTGATATCTATAACTGTCATAGTATATATACCTGCCTACATATTAATCGTATGTTTATTATGTGATACGTACGGAGTTATTTTTACTAATATAATATAGTAATGTAATTAGCTTCTGTCAACAACTTTCCTAGCGCAATCCAATTGCATTGTATTGTTATTTTTGTTCCTTGCATTCATGCCGTATGCCGAATAAAACTCTTTAGTTACACTTCATTTCAGCGTTCCCGTGGTATAAAAAAGCCTATGTGCTATTGCAGACTATACAAGTACCAAATTTCATTCCGATCCCTTCAGTCGTTTTGACGTGGTTGAGTAAAACATACACTGAAACTTACAAACATTCGTATTTATTTATTGGTAAGATTAAAGTGAGGTTCTTTCATTAATTCAAAGTTCATTATTATTATATTATTATAATATTCATGCGTATGCTACAGATTCGCCGTGGAGGACTTAACGGGTTGCCGGGGCTCCGGCTCGAAGAGCAGGAGTAGTGACCGAGTGGTTTACTAGTTTTTATTCAGTAAGAGTCAGACACTCCCTCCCACCTCACCCAGGTGGGAGAAGTAATTTCAAAATAATAACTGTGTCATCTTCAAATATTGTCTAAAATTCAAAACATCTTTATTGCTCTGCTTTTAGAAAAACATTTTTTAGTATTTATTTTTTCCTCTGTAAAGTACTTACCTACTTAAACTGTCAAACACCAAGCGGTCACCGGTGACCGCAACCTATTGTTCTATAATTGTGTCTATAATGACGGTACTCGACGAGTTAATAAGAAGTAGCTTAATGAAATGGCAGTATTAACTGCATATTACATAAGTACTCAGGTATTGCCTAGTAACTATAATAGGTAGATTTTTTGTTTTACAGGTCATACGTATCTTACATAAATTTTTTTGTTTTTTACAAACACTGCAGGTATGTATGTACCCAGCCAGTCGATAATTTTATCGACTTTACTGTTTTGTAGTTTCTTGCTCATTGTTCTCTGTTCGAAACTACTCATTAGAACGAGCTCCTAGCTTCACTGACAGACAGACGGACGGACAATTCAAGTGCCTAATTAAGTTTTAATGGAAATAAATACTTTGACTTTGTAATAAGGTCAAAATTCTATCAAAGATTAGACCTACGTGCGTCCGTTCGTAAGAAGCGAACAATGAAGGTCATACAAGTATCATAGTTTTTTTTATATAAATACAATTAATAAGTCACTTTATAGTGGCGTAATAGAACTAGTTCGTATATTTAGGTATGACAATAAATTATAATCAATTATGACTTATTGTTTTTACATTTACATATTTTCATTAATAATATAGTTATCTAGAAATGGTTAGACCGTTAAATAACAAATAAATAGTACTTACATTCCCTTAATATGGCAGTAAACAATAGAAGCATAACACGTGAATGGGCATAAAAAGATATCACAAATCATTTTACGATCCGAGCTGTAGGTAGATAGGTACTTATTCGTCAAAAAAAATAGCAGTAAAAACATAAAACAGAAAAAATCACACACATTGAGCATTTTACGCAAGTTACGCTTAAATAAAAAATACATCCTCACCTCAAATAATTCGGATGAATTTTAACAGTTTGCATGCCAATGGCAGCTGTTACAGGTCGTGGCCAGAGTCCACCAAATCTGCCACAGACTGTCCGGCAGACGTCCATACTGGCAAACAGCATGCCACTATTGTTCCTGGTGGTTATCTCCACACCTGGTTGTGGGTGCGACGTTCTCTCGCAACCCTGGTCTGGTACACACCTGTACCTCCATGCTGGCCTGGTAAAAGAGATGGAACATTATCACTGCTACATATATAGTTACTTCTTTATATAGGCTTCCCCTAGATAAAAGGAGTTTGCCATAATCTTTGCGTTTAGTAGGCGAGTTTGATTTCGCAGTACGATTACAAAAAATCCACGAAATTTGTTCAAACAAAAGTAATTTTTTGTTCATACGTAAGTCTCTAAACATCGGTAATTCTAAATAAGGTCTATTGGAATATAGTATTGTATTCAATTAATTTTGTATTATATAATGGAGTGAGTGGAGAAAGAACACCGGTTACCGGATCTATCTAAATGATCTGTGAGAACGCTGTCTTACTGATATCGAAAAATCGACAAATAATAATAATGCTTTGCCTGATCCGTAAGTATATTCAGTAACTGCCAATTGGCACTTTCAAGTGAGCTCCATCACATCCACGGCCCGTCAGTAATTGAGATTATATTCACCACGAATAATATGGCAGACCGCGATCGAGTTCAATTCGATCTTTCGAATTTAAAGTTACAGGATATATCCTAGCTGGAACCTAGGGATCCCTTTCCTTTCCTGGCAGTTGCACTTGCAACTAAATAGTAAAAAATTTGAAGCATAAACAAAAAAAAAGAAACGTCATCACGTAGCAGGAAAATATAATCTGTGGATCAAGGAATGAAAAGTCAGTGAGTGCGCCCTTACGAACATGGACAAGAAAATTCCCATGGTTGCATTGCTTATGGATATGACTAAGGCCTTCGATCATGTTAGTCATGAAATCCTACTGATGAAGTTAGAAAAATATGGCATTAGAGGCAACACTCATGAGCTTATTAAGTCCTATCTTACAAACAGGCAACAATACACATGTATTAAAAAAATCTGTCCCTACACAAAAACTGAAATAACGCACACTTCTAAATATCGGAAATGTTTATGCGGGGTGCCACAGGGTAGTGTCCTCGCACCACTACTATTTATAATTTACATAAATGACATGCCTAGAATAATCACCAATCCCATGATCTTATTCGCGGACGATAGCACTATACTGTTTAAAAATAATAATGACGAGACCTTTGAAAAAGAAATTAATGATAACTTAAACGACATCATAACCTGGCTAACTGCAAATAAATTGAAAATTAATCTAGAGAAAACAACTTACATATCATTTGCACAAAGAATTAGTGGTAACAGGATTCACGTAGGATATGACGGGAAAAATATTGAAGAGACTGACCATGCTAAATTCTTGGGTATCTGGATCGATAAGAACCTAAATTGGAAATCCCACATTGATAGTGTTTGCAAAAAACTTAGCCAATCCTCCTTCGCGCTATACAACTTAAAAAAAGTGGCAAATCAGGAAACATTAATCACGGCGTACCACGGCTATGTTTCGTCAACATTGCGATACGGGCTTCTGTTCTGGGGAAATTCGCCGGATAGAGAAATGGCGTTCAAATCACAGAAGAAATGCATCAGGGCAATATGTGGTATACAAAGCACAGTCAGCTGCAAACCATATTTTAAAGAACTAAAACTATTAACTCTGCCCTCCCTTTACATATTTGAGGTTGCCAGCTACGTAAAAACTAACATCCACTTGTACACCCACCCAAAAAGTAAACGTCATAAATATAGGATCTGCGCTACACAACATAAGAAAGCCATCTTCAACAAAAACATTTTAGGTATGGCACCCAAAATCTTTAATAAGTTACCTAAAGACATAATAGAAATTGACAATATTAATATATTTAAAAAACGACTACATGAATTTTTGGTAACTAAGTGCTATTATAAAATTAATGACTATTTAGATGAAAGATGCTAGACCTGCTATATCCGATTTGCAATATATGTAAATTTTTGGTTTTTTCAAAAAATGTAACCAACCCTGACTATCTTGGGTGATTCTAATCAGATTAACCATAGATTTGGCTATGTCGAACGTACATATGACATTCTATACTCTTAATTTTCCTTTTAATTTGACCACTTAAATTTTGATACATACTGACATTGGATTCTATGTAATTTTGTGCTTATCATGACATCCCATATTATTATATTCCTTAATTAAATTATGACATTTCGCATTAGGGATTAAAGCTTATGATATGACTGATGACGATGGTTCAGTGGTTTAACCCCCATAATAAATGTCTTATTCCTGTGTAGATACTTAAATGACTATTAATGTGTTTCTGTTTTCTAATTTAAATTAATCTATTTACTAAAACTCATATGAATTTGTATGCTTTAAGGCAAAACATAGACGGACTCGCTGTATTGCATTGTATGTCAATCTTTCAAACAACTTTATATAACCTATGTTTACAAATAAACGATTTCATTTCATTTCATTTCATTTCAGAATGGCGGGAACGGGAAGATGGCGAGGGTTAAGTTTTCTAATATTACAGTAATACTTACGTATATGTATGGGCGATTGCAGCGTCATCTGATGAAATGTATGCGCGGTTAAATGTGATGAGATGCACCAATAATATGACCAGAATGGTCATAAGACACAACTTCGCCATGGCTCTCTGTCAAACAAACAAAGGGTATAATTTAACGATATTATGGATTAGTTTTTGACAGATAAACTCTTTATCGTCCCTATAGGTACCACTTCAAGTTAAAAACAATAACATTTAAAAGATTTGTTGTACAAACGCTAAAACATATAAGGAAAAACATTACCTACAATGTATGAGTCAATTCGTTTTTTATAAGACAAACTTGAGGTATTTTTCAATTACTTTTATTCCACCAATATTATAAATAGTCCAAAATTATGATAAAAACATAATGTTCATCGACAAAACATTGTAATGTTATTGTCAGCTGTATCTACATTGCAATACGTATATTTATCTTTATGTTACCACAATTACGGACACACGTTTAGATACTATCTATTATATTTCCGTTGTCATTAAATGAATCGGAATACAACAGTGAACAGTGATTTAAATCATAAAAACAACACACTCTTCAATTTCCATAGGGATTATTAAAAATATGCTAAATTAAAAAACTTCGTATAATATAAAGCCCATCTTACCTACATACATAACTTCACGCCTGTCTCCCATGGGGGTAGGCAAAGACTATGGAACGCCAACTACTAGGATTCCTACATACCTCTTTCGCTTCATCAACAGTCATCAATCTTTTCATGTATGTTCGTCGGTTAAGAGTACTTTTTATTTGGCCCTTCTTTAATAATATATATCGCCAATCTAGTCATGGCGCCCTCTACCGACGGCCCCATTCATATCCGTTCTGTTACCTCTTTCGTTTCTCAACTTTCATCCATCCTTTCTCCATGTCCAAACCAGCGTAACATTCCCTTTTCAATCCTTGTCACTGCATCATCTTCCAATCCATCTTATGTCTAAATACTAAAACTGAAAATACTAAAAAATTCTATTGATTGTTTACTTAATTTCTTTTTGTTTTTCTTCTATTTTGGTTTTCTTTTATTGTACATCTACCGCGTCTATTCCCAGATTCTTTTGTAAAATTCCATCCAAAGGTTGTCTGGAAGAAACCGCCGCGTGTCTTAAGACCGCCCATTGTACTCAAATTACTTTTGCAATGTTTACAAATTTTTTTCTGTGTGTGTAATAAATTGTAAATAAATAAAATACCATTCAATTTTAAGTCGTGCTTAAGTATAGTTCTGTCACTACCAATTCTTTGTACAATGACAGAGATGGCACGATATTTAAGTAGCATTCCAGCATTCGGGCGTTAGTCCACAAAACCAATTAAAGTGTTCTATATTCGAACAACGTTTACGAGATTTATCTACCCCATAACCGCAGAACCACATCACTGACGTATGTGACTGTAAAATTAGTGAGGAAAATATGAATTGTTTACATTGAATAGGCTCTGAATTCTAAAACTAGAGGAGCAATTTGACATATGCTTCCTCTATTAGAGAGCTTAGTTTCAAGGCAGTAACAAAGACCATTCGATATCAGATTTTTTTTCATAAGTATTGTTCTAGAATCTGAAGCCTGCCCGAGAGATATCTGGTAAAAACTAGTAAAAATAGGGTAAAAATTAAGGATATGATCTACATAATATAATGATGTGTCTGTCACAGAAAATACCAAGATCCGTAAGGTAATAAATTTCCTAATGTTTAATTGGTCAACGATAATACAATTTATCTCTCGTTTATAATCCTAGGAATGTTCAACGTTTTCCTAGGAAATTGATAAACTTCAAAATCAAATTCAAATTCTTTGTTTTTTCTTATCTTTTAAACTTACTGTTCTTGTTATTTTCTTGACATGTCCTGTCCACATTTTGCGAATGCGCTGCTCGCAACTTTCGCGAATTACGCGTGTGTAATTTTGGTGATTCTACGTTCTTGAGATAAGGACGCACTATTATAAGAAACATTATATTCACTATTAGCAATACGAAAGTACAATAAAAATATTGAGAGCTATAAACTAAGTAATCAAGATAAGTGTTAATTAAATTACCAGACGGCCATTAACAGTTTTACTGTTGACAATCTATATCTGTAGTGCTATACTCTATCAACATATATCTATCTCTCGTGGAGACGGGCGTGAAGTTGAATCTATTGAACATAATTATAGTCACATTTCATGTATTAAACATCTATGGGATTGTTTTTTTTATTGTCAGTGGTATGACACTGACAAGTGTCAAAATTACATTTCGCCACAGGATGTCATAGTTCAGGCACCTTATATTGTGAACCTTATATGTATAGCTTTAAGCAAAACTGTATATTTTTAGACTATTATGTTTGAAAATATTTTTTTATTTATTTATTTAGTTTTGTATTCTCTCGGTAGACAAGCGCTAAAGTGGCGTTTGGTTAAAGGCACAGATATTGTGAAACAGTCCCTAAATCACGGAAGTTAATTAATTTCACAATTAACATAACTTAGGTGCTGAATAGATTCTGATACCGTTTGCTACGCTCAGCCGTAGAATAGTATAATATGTACCTTGGAAGCTAATTCAAAAATTTAAATTCTGTCAGAAGTCGTTAGTCGCGAGCAATATAGTATTTATTTATAAGTTTATTATGTTTTATAATATGGCGCATCCAAACATAGATGCAGTCTCATTGTGTACACTCACCGCGCGACACTCGCGTGCAAGCTAACGGAACTTACGCAGACGAGTATGGGCACTGCGCTTGCGCATCGGAACTATTACTTGAGACATCCGAACACGCCATTATTTATATTTAAGTACCTACCTATGTACTTTTAAATATAAATAAATAATCACATACATATGTGTCACCGGAAAATAACAATATACGATAAACAACCGTACTGTTTATAAACTTAGGAAATTATATTATTATTATTATTACAGGGAAAGGTAGTACAGTCAGTACTCAGTAGGTACAGTATCG